AGAAGCCGGGAAAAATTTTATGTCATCAATATACCTCAACAATATTATAGATTTATCAGACGACGAAATACACAAGCGGATTAAAAAGTCGTTGAATAAAGATCAAAATAGTTGGATCGAAGGAATTCTCCAGAAAAAAACCTGGAAACCAACCTCCGAATATATTCAATATATTAATCAATTTACTGAAGAAGCATGTACCCGAAGTGAGATCCCAACGATTGTTCGCAAATCTTGTATTTCCGGAAGATTCGATCCTTATTATCACGAAGCACATGAAATCGCACAGCAAATATTAACGCATTGGTGGGTATTCAATTTTTTGTTGACATTAACAATTTTCCTTATTATTACTTATTTTCTATGAGTAGTTCTGTCCGTCTTGAAGGTCCAATGAGAGTTGAATATAAAGGTCTCAGTCTTGAAAGGACTTATGCAGTTGACACCATAATATACTTTTTAAATCGACTATTCAGAATGCACCAAGATGAAATAGATGTTGCATGGTAATTATCAATTTTAAAAATTTGAAGTTTGAATTATTAATCTTACTAATTTTTTATTTGTTTAAGGATTGAATCACAAACTTCGGATACAAAATGTCGTAGATTCGATGGATTATACAAAGTGATCAGGGGAACTGATAAAAGTCAAGCCATAATAATCATAGAATTTTCGCGTGGACGAAGGACACCTTTGTCAAAAAAAAGTGGTGATCAACTAAAACTGTGCCGAAATTCAATGAGAATTCTCAATAAACTATTACAAACCGTACCAAAGAATCTTGCACGAGTGTATTTAGTACAATCTTTCAGTAAGTATTACAACCAGAAGTTAATGGTATAAAGCCGGTTATTTACATATATTATACATTTTCTTTATAGATGGATTTATCGAAATAAAGTATTTGGTTAGACCATTACCATCAATATACATACTCCAACGCTTTATGAATACAAAAATACCTTCTACTTTTCGTGACTTTAGACAGTTTTCAAAAGACTTAATAGAACTAATGAATTGGCAGGTAGAGTATTGGAAACATTTTAAATTCTATGAGATACTTTGACAGATATTTATTATAAATTCCTTTTACAGGCTGATGTTCTGTCAACAGTTGGAGCAGTAAATGATGCAACCACAACCGGTGGACATACCAATAATCTTCATATTACTTTTGTAAATGATACTCCAGAAAAGAAACAAAAAGATAAAAATCAACTTCCAATATCACATTCCGTGTCCTCATGTCCTGGTTCCCCTCTCCCACCAAATCATGATTTAATGCACCACTTAGATTCACCAAATCATGAAAAAATCAATTTAAATAGTTTAAAAAATCGATAACTGTAATGTAAAACTTATTCGAAATTTTTTAATAAATAAATGCAAACAATATTATATTCAATATCCAATCACGATTTCATCTGTAAATAATTGCACAACACGAAACGATTAAAGTAACCATTATTTAAAACTACAGAAGTGTTTTCGTACCACAGTTATGGTTAAATGATTTACAAAACTTTTTTATTAGAATTTTTGACGACGGGCCGTCGCCGAAATTTTTATTACTTTTAGTTACGCATTTTAAATAAACAATTGAGTATATACAATCTATTACTAAAACATGCAATCCGAGATTGATTCATT